ATAAAAATAACTGGGGAGAAGAGAGAGATATAAAACTATTGATTCCTGGAAGCACCAGTATATATGACCTTCAGGGACTCCTGCAGATCTACAGACTTACCCAGGTAGACACACACCACAGGGGTTGACAAACACAGGAAATATATCTGGATGCTCATAACATTTGTGAAATAACTTGCTAGGAACATTGATGCAAGCAAGAATTGGCTTCTCTACATTACATCTCGCTTGGGAGTTCTTACTTTCCAAATCTGGCATACTGAGTGAAAAGTTACTGAAAAGCTTTGCAGACTTCCAAGAAGCTCAATAAAGGAGCATTAAAAAGTCTCTCATGCAATTCAAATGTGTCTGTGAGATGTTATCAAGGTTACTGTTACTTGCCATCGTCACCAAAGCCTGTCCATTCCTATTGTTCCTACAGATTTGCAAACATCTTTCCTCCATTCTTGGTGTCCAATCTCCTTTCCAATACACATTTTATTAAACCTTTTTCTTTTGCAGGGCATCTGTTCAAAAACCCACACCAAGAGCAAAGTAGAAGTGTCCTCAAGGTTTCTTATGTAGTTGCTCACTAAAGAGACCAAGACCAGAAACATCTAGGAAAAGCCCATATGCAGTGCTGGTTGTGAAGCAAAAGCAGCAAAAACAGCAAAAACATTCAGAAAATCATGGATTCCCATGAAAATGGCACCCTGCTGTTGGATCACACGCTTCAGTCACTAATGGCACGCTGCTGCCTGGGGAGTTGTGCTGCTGCCAGGAAAATGACTTGCAAAGGGATGGAAAAAATGTAGAAGTTTTATTTTGAGTACACAAACAACTGACTTCTCAATTATTCTGGCTTCCTTCAGATAAGGTTTCTGTTTGGCATGACAGAGATGAGCCAGCAGGCATAGATCATCTTTGCTGCAGACGGGGAAACCCGTGGAGCTGCATTCAGAGGCAGCTCTGGGGGTGGTGCTGGCAAACACCCACTCCAACCAAATGGATATGGGAATTCCTTTCCACCCCCCAGCACACATGGGAAGAATTATATTACAGAAAATTACAGTTTAAAAGATGCATGCTGGAGGTCTCTTGCTTAGTAAGACTTATTCAAAATGTATAGAATATACCCTCCCCGCAAAAGAAATGCTGTAAAAGGAAACTATTTTAAACTTCATTATAATGAATGAAGATAAAATTTTAATCACAGGCATGGAAGCTGGCTTTTGCCTTAAGAACAGTAATAATTACCAGATTTCATTCAATATGAGCAAACAGAAGCCAGCAATTTGAAATGGCCAAATTACCACTAACATTCTACTTGCAGTATCACTCAGTAAAGATAAAAAAGGGAATGAGAAGATGAACCATTTAAAATACTCAACAGGTGCCCTATACACTATATTTCCACAATTAAAACTAGACCATTGTAGCTGAATATTCATTAGAACTCACTCAAGAAAGATTTAAGAATACACAAGTAGTATATATCAAACAGAAAAATGCCATAGCCAGACATCCATCAACTGAAGAATTACAAGACTCAGTTACTCCAAGTAATTTAAGGAAAATTAAAAGTTATGGAAAAATCCCTGATGTCAGGACTAAAAGAAGATACAATAGAATAGAGCAAGCCCTTAGAAAGGCAAAGAGAAAGTGAACCATGTAGAAAAGGCTATTGTTTTGTAAAAAGGCATAGGATGATTCCAAAGTATCTCTTCAGAAATTACTGCGAGTCATTTGAGATTTTGGGTGAGCTGTTTTTCAGTCCACAAGGAACTGATTTAATGAACATACGCTAAACAAGTGTTAATCAGCATTTTAATAAGCACTCAACATGTTTAGGAGAGCTGTCTCTGAAGACATTTTACTTAATTTTTTTTCAAAAACTGCCGAAATAAAATGGAAATTCAAGAAGCCTTAAGACATTGCTAAAAATGGGCTGATATTTTAAAACATCAAGCTGCCTATTCTAGGTACCCATATGTCCATTAACCTTCCAACAACCCTGAGCCAAGAAATGGTAAAGCTGACAGGACTCTATTAATAAAATAGTCAAGGGTTGAGATATAATTGATGACAGTCAACAGCTCTGGAAAAATTAGTTTTTAGCATCAAATAGGCATGACTTAATTCTCTGATGAGATTATAAATTTTTGTGTACAAGAGACCAACATAACTGGTGGCATAAAGTTTCATTAGAACACACACTGCCAAAGATGAACAACTATTCACATGATGCATCTTCAACAGCAAATGAGGGGAACTATTAATTAAATAGTTATAGCTCCTATGGGGTCTGCCACAGTTTGAGCTATGGCTGGCACATTTCATATTTGTTGAATATAAAAATATAAATCAAGTACCAGTAATTACTGTGGATAAGCATAAGAGTGGCAGATAGCTACAGGTAATCACATAGACAACACATGACATCATTTGCATGATAATGATGCTTTCAGATGAATTATGTTTTTAACACAAGGAAATATAATCTATTAAGAAAGAGGCAGGGAAAAGTGCATCTCCATGGGAACAACCATTTGCTTGAGCGACACAAGTACGAAAGGGGGGTGTGCAGATATGTCACTGGAAACAGCTATGAGTCTGCTGTTTCTCTCCTGAGATTTCACAAGATTAATGATTAATTATTGACAGACTATCAAGTGACATTTTGTTGGGGTTTTTTTTTTGAGTTCAGTACCTGATATTTTGGCAGTTGCTTAAAAATTGAAGTCAGAAACAGATTTGGTTTAAGGACTAATACTCATGACCACCATTCCCAACTGCGCTGGGTTAAGAGACATTTTAATGAGAATTTTCTTGTGATCCTTGGAGACACAGGGGTGATGATACATTGGGCATATTTGTATAAAAAGAACTTAAGAACTTGCTTCACTGGGTAAAGCAAAACTTTCAAAAGCTGTTTCACTAGATGAAGCATCAGTCTTGCAATTTGCAAACCTTTGTTTAAAAAGGAGGAGTGAATTTTTGATAGCCTCTCAAAACAATGGATCCTCTAAGGAAAGACACATGCTCTGCTTGTTCTGAATGGGAAATTACTGTACAGCAAGACAGGAAAGGCTTAAATACTATAGTTTAGTTGAGGACACTAATTCAGGAGAGGTAAAAAAAGTTGTACAGATATGTGGTGCACAGCATATACATGTTTCATTATGGTAAGGAGTTCACAGCACCTAAACTTTTAAAAAGAGCATGAGAGGTGCTTTACACTCTGGCTGGTCACCAGGTAAGTGTGGTCACAGCACACAAAGACCAGACTCCATCATGAGGCATCTTCTGCCTCAGCTGAACAAATACACAGAGAAAACCATTAGAAAGGGAACAGGGAACGTCTAACTTGTCATAACAGTGTTTCAGAACTTAAAAACCCATGCAGGTGTGCATAAAGGGCTGAGGCTTGGGAGATGTGACACCTAGGGATGACTCAGCCATGAAACCACCAAGCTTTTTTCTCACAGCTTTTCATCATTCACCATCAGAGTGCAGGGAAGCACCCTGCACCATGCAGCTTTGCTAAGACTGAAAATAAATACACATATAGGTTAGGACACACCTTTATTCCTTCACTTAAATAGATTTCTGTTGGACATAAATAAAAATGTGTTTGCATCAAGAAAATATTACCCATATTTTAAATGAGCACTTTAAATATTATTACAACAAGACTGCAATCCTTTCCTAAGGTACATTTCAGACAAAATACATACATTATATTTATGTTTTAAACAACATAAATCTATATAAAAGGAGCTTAATGTCACAACTGTGACTTTAATCTTTGAAAAGGCATAGTCACATTTCCTGGCACTGTAATCAGTATATTCCAAGAGTATCTGTAGAAAGGACTGTGGTACTAAATATTACCATGGTAAATTTTATGATAACCTTGCTTGCCTGCCATCCATTCTCTAGTCCCCAATTTCCATGTACTTTATGGCAACTCAGTAGTGGAAGACATGGTAATGAAGGAGTGACTAAGAAACAAAGCCTGTTAAAAACAACACTGGCACAGGATAATCCCGCATAAGCTATTGCCATATTATTTTTATGTGAACCTTTTAACTTTCTAGTAAGTCCAATCCCTGAATCCTAATTTTTCTATTGAAGAGTCATTTTGTACAGCAGTCTGCAACAGAACAAATTTTCTCCATGTAAGACTTGATAAAACACAGGCAAAAAACCAAAACAAAAGCAAAAGAAAAGCCCTCAAAAGACTTTTAATGTGCCTGTTCCTGTTTTATTCATAACATCCTAAAATATCACTAGTAGGTTTTCCTGGCATAAAACAATAACTTATCACTATGCTTATAACCTTTTCTAGCTGTACGCAAATCCCTTTTTAATCAGTCTTTAAGAATCAAAAAGAAAAAAAAAAAAACATTTCACTTGACTTTGAGACAGATTTCTTTAAAATACCCACAAAATTTTTCAAAGCTAATTATTTTATGTGTATGAGATACAGTTGTGAAGACTTTATGAGCAAGTTGAAAATACATATTTAAGGACTTGAAAGTTGACAGAACATCTCTGACCACAGACACTTAACTGTACATAGCCACACAGTAAAATCCCATTCATAAAGTGATTTAGCTTTGGCTATGATACCTATGCTGAACAATCCAGTTTACATCCTTCATCTTTCAAGTGAGAGGAGCTGGCATGAAAGGAGAGTATTCAGAAGTTGATATGTGTATTAAACTCACAGTTTTTCAGCAACTGAAAATACAGAACCTTTGAAAAGTGGAACAAAAGTAACATCTTTTTCTTCTGGATGTGATGCAAGGAAACGTATTACAGATTTTTACATGTGATTCTCCACCCACACCCACTCTCTCTGCTTCTCCCTCAATCATCTACCAGTCATGTCACATCAAACTAAGCATAAAGACAATGCAAACACACATGTTAAAAAATACTTATATCCACATTACATTCCCAACCTGAAACTCATCAAGTCTACTAAATTTATTCCAAAATACAAAAAGACTTACCCAATGTGTCTTTTAGATTTTTAACCAGAGAACCTTTCTTCAAGCTGTTTTTTCGCTCCACATAATTTGATGGCACATATCCCGTTTTGTTGGCCGCGTTTCTTACCCTCCACCATGTCTTAGAATCATCTAATAGCCAAAGACGCTCATTTTTCTTGATGTCAAGTTCTTGGTCCTGCTGTGCAGTGTAATCCCACTTTGCAATAACAATAACTTCTTCTGTCATCTTTCATGGAGTCCTTCTGCAACAAAATAATAAAGCATTATCCTCAGTAAATTTCGTCATACAATTCTTACTCATTTTTTTCCTTTGAATTCTTCTAAAATAAGTAAGAAAAAGGCTAGGGAGAAAATGAGAATGCCATATAGGGCAAACCCTCTTTTAAAAATAAGGGAATCCATAATGACTTTTCTTGTTTTTTCAGCCACTAAAATATGGCAACTTTTTGATAGCAAATTCTAGTCATAATGTATTACATTCACTTCCTCTCAATGCATATAAAATATTATATGGATATATATTAACAGAAGCTTATTTATAAAATCTGTTTCATTTTTGCATATAGCATTATAAAAGTATCCCACATGTGGCATTCCAAGTTCTGATCTGAGAAAAAAAAAAAAATAGCAGCATTCCAAAAATGTATTTTCCCTCTGCACTAGTTTCACATCCTTATACTAATTTCAAACATATAAATTTTCTGAATTTAAACAAAGTTGTCTATCTTTATTTGGTAGAAAGTTAAGAAATAATTCAAGAAGCAATGCAACCCAGCAGGGAAATCTGCCATCAATAAGAGGGTACGGACTTAAGCAAGCCTTTGTTCACCGTTTTGTGCAGGCAGCACAAAACTCCCTTTAAGAATCTTCACTCCCCCTTTGTTCCCAGGAAGATCCCAGCTCAGCATAGTCCTGAACCAGGCATTAGTCAGCAGGGTGGAAAAGAGCACCCACTGGATTTCACTTCTTCCCTACCTGAAACATATCCAGAGTTCATTAAGACTGAATGAGTTGTCTTTCTCTCACTTACCTGTGAGAACAATGATGTTTTTCAAAGCTATTTGTCAGCTGCACAAAGACAGCTGCATGCCTCCACGTTTTCCTACGCATCCCAGTAATTACCAGGAACAATGTGAGGCAGCACAATAGTGTGCAAGGAAAAGTCCAATACTAGTACCAATGACATTCAAATACATTATAATGCCAACTGAGACATGTTGATTTTACCTTTTAAATTCTGAGAAGTCATCTAAAATATACTAATTGCTGCCATGCAGGTTGGGGGAGAGGGAAGTGGAGGAGGACAGAGAGAGTAGGAGGTGAGAATATATTTGAAAATCAATGTATTTGATTTTTGTTTTTTTAATAAAAGGTGTACGTTTCATTTAAATTACAGATTAGTAAAAAAAGGTGCAAAGGTACTTCAAACTATTAATGTCCAAAGACTTCTGTAATATTTGGCTTTGTTGCCTAGGTCTTGGAAGTCCACAACTCTATCTTCTCTGATACCTAGTGGTTTATGTGAAAGAAAGGTAATTAAAAACCAAACTTCATTCAGAAATTCTGTTCAGCATGTAAATGATATCACCTATACTCTGTAAGGGTTCCTTCTGCAGTCTGTAAATACTCACACAAACATGCACACACTTCCCCCTTTAGCTACAATACAAACTGTGAAAACTGCATGCCAGACAACCCAGTTTATCTACTCTAGGAAAAATAAGTGTTTTACGTATTTAACCTAAAATCCTAAAACATAATAGTGGTCCCCATTATAAATTAATAGCCTCTTCTTCTTATGAATTTTGTTTCCAGGAGAACATCATATAGGTCTGAGCAACGATTGCTAAACCATTTGACAGCAAAAAGCTGTGCTTGCCATTTGCTGGCAAACATCAGCAAAATTACCCCTCATGGCCAAGGCAGGACATGATTTTTGAAAATCTGAAGCTGAGTTGAACAGGTTTCAGTTCTCATTTTCCAATCAAAAACCAGAAAGAACATACAACAATTAAAACATTATTAAAATATGCATGGCTGAGGTCCCCAAGACGAATTTAAAAAGTAGCTATGATGCTTTGAATAGCTTGAGAAGCACAATCCTTACAGCTCAAACAGGCTGTGACTTATGCAGTGGAACTGACAGTTTTACAGGAAATAAGTCAGTAACCATTCAACCATTTTTTTCCCCTAAAATAATAATCCCATCTGACAATGATAGAGAAGAGCCTGAACTTAGGACCCCAGTCTCCAATAAACTGTCCTGCTTTCTGACTGATATAAAATGGACAGAAAGCCTACAGGTCAATAAGTTGACGTAGCCACAGGGGACTGCAATCAAACATGTTCTGGAGGCTGGTGTTGTCAATATAATCTATCTCTCCAATTTAGGTTGGTTTATTTTATCTCAGCAATTGTGAAATGGTCAATTCTTACTATTCCTAGGGACATGGAGAACATGAAGAAATAGGACATCATCAGTGCAGTTGGTTAAAGTTGCCACTACATTGGCTCCCTTCTAAAAAAGGTTATTTTCACAATACAGGCAAGTTTAAATTATCAGTATTACAGCATATTAATAATAAAACCCCCCACATTAGGAATAATATTTGAGTAGCAACTAGTGGAAAACTATTATACTTTTGCTATACCTCTAAAGAAAAAAACAATTTTAATTGACCCCTATTGTAAAATTCATCAAGTATTTCACCATGGCACTGGGCAAGAACAGAAGTACAGGAAGAAACTACTTACCAGGACTGACAAATTCCCAGTAGTGTAGACATGTAAAACTGTCACTACACCTGAGAAATGCTGTCATTTCACAAGCAGACCCCTTGCATGATGCAATTTTGGCAGAAGTATTCTGGTATAGGAGAAGCCAAGTTCCCTGAGCATCATGCTCACACATAACCCATTTCAGTAAAGCAGTCCAGGTTTTACTAAATGTTCAGTGGCACAAGCTTTCTTTCCCAAGTGGAGACAGGATTTAGAGTCAAAATGCACAATGCAATTGCAGCTAAACATTTGTCCATTTAAAGCTGTGTACATGTGCGTACAGTTCAGTTGTGTTGGGTTATTTTTTTAGATTTAAGTTTGTTCTTTCTAGGGGAGTGAATTTTGTTTTGTATTTTGGAGTTGTTTCCTTGTTTTGTTCTATTTTGTTTGTTTTTAATGTGGAGAAATACATTAAAGTTCTTCAAATTATTTTCTTATGATTACATCATTAGACTGTCTCCATCAAGGACAATATGGCTCTTCTGTGACATCTGCAGAGCTAAGATTTCCTAGTATGTACATAAGGACATTTTTGCTTCCCAGAAGAGAGGCTGTAGAGGTAATAGTTTTGAAATGCTTCTGCAACATAGCCATGTGCCAAATAAAAGATGATAAGCAGACAACATAACAAGATTTGGGGGAAAATGAAAAGAAAACACAATAACACAGCCTCCCAAAGCATCTGAGAGTACTGTAAAAAAATTGACACAGACTTGAAAGCATGAAATTTCTTCAGTGTACTGCTTACGTACTGCAAAATAAAACATACCACTATTCCCAAAGATTTTAATGGCAACATAAGCTTCCTTCACATTAAGAAAATGAAGATCCATTACTGCTAAAAGTGTACAATGTTTCGGAAAGTTCCTTCTCAAAAAGCTCAGAAGCCCCCGCGCTGAAATACTGAGTTGTCTTCTCCTACCTGACAGAACAACATTCCACACTGAAAGCACCAGTGAAAAGCTTTGAAATACAGATATAATACAGTTCTTCAAGGAACTGTAACAGTCTTTCCAACATACAATATTGTTTCACATGACCTTGGCTTTTACCTTACCACATCAAGTGGTCATTTGCTTTATTTCTATGGCAATCCAACTTCCAACCTCAGAAACCAAAAACAACCTGAATTGAAGACACCACATTGAGAATAAACAGAACTCCACAAACCAGACATTCAAAACTTAATTCTTGTAATATCAATACGCAACTGCAACTCCTTTTAATCCAGCAATTCTTTCCCTGCTATCAGTCTCAAAAAACTAATTTATTTTACCAACATTGTGTTTTTGCTGAAATGTTAAAACCAATATAGCTTTGATTGAGCTCATGTATTTTTAGCCACTTCATTATTTCCTTTCAGCTTAGGTTTTGTTAGGAGTCCTGTCTTCAATGGAAGCTGCCCTACTGCAGAAGCACACATGAAAATTTTTCTACAGAAAATTATCCTTGGGAGAGAGGGCAAAAACTGAGAAATTGCTCAGCCAAGAAGGCAATGAACAAAAACTCAGCCAAACTCAAGACAGTTACGGCTGTACTGAAAGTCTGCTCAGACAGGTGAGGAACATTAACTAACCATATGGAAGAATAAATGCAGACCGTGGTGGAATATCTAGTACTGTAGCTTCTATATGACTTTATAACAAGAAAGCCCAGAAAGGAAAATGTTATGTTCAGTAAGCTATCAACAATCCAACAACTTAGCAATGATAGGAAAAACAAACTAAACAAAGAAACACGTATGCCATTCTGAAGCCATCGTTAGAACTGAGCCATATAAGTAATATTTGAGACTATAGAAATTTAAAGATAGAAGAACTTAAGAGAATTTGATCCAACAAACATGTAGACCTATTAGTGAATCTTCATATGAAAGATTTATTCAGTTAGTGTCATTTTAAATACCAAAATACAAAGAATTGTTATGCAGATCCCATTCTATTTTTACAAGGCTGGGATTCCAATCCTCACTCTCTCCCCCTCCCCATACAGAACTAATATATTTCTCCCACAATGACCAATATGAAAGGACTCTTATCAGCATGCCACCCGAACTGCAATCTTCTCCTATGGACTGACACAAGCTAACACTATGACTAGTTTAATGCCCTAGTCCAATGGGTAGAAAAGCAGCATCCTTTCTTGGCCTCAAGAGGAAGACTCACAGTTGTGTTAGGATTAGTTAGGAAAGTACAAACAGAAGGTTAAGATGCAGTTAGGAAGCAGCTGCTCTCCTTGTTCACTATTTGTTTTACAAAAATTAACATCACTGAAAAATGACTGACAGTAACGCTTGAAATGTAATCTCTCACCAAGGGAACAAGCAAAAATTCTAATAGGCAGTGTCAATTGATATAACAGACTGTTCTGGAATTGGATGTCTTCTTAAGACACGCAGAAAGAAAGGGACAGAATTGATACAGAAGCTTTTACGTGACACTTGATATACATAAACCATCTAATT